TATATATGTATATATAATGAAATTCAAAAATTAATTTTTTTCAGTTTAATAAAATTTTATAGGTAATAAATCTAGACATATATAACATTTTAAGATGAAATGGTAATCTCTTATATGTGATAAATTTCCGAAGAATTAAAATTTTACCAGAGTTCTATTATAGTTCAGGGTTTACTAATTAATGATATCTCTGATAAGAAAGACCTACCGAATATAAAGTGTATCCCCCTTTGCTTTATTTTGATCCTAACAAAAAAGAGATTACATCAATCGACAACTAATCGAGGTCCTGCACATCCTACAATCTCGTTTTTCTATATTCTCTGTTCAATTGAGAAGATGGAGAAGATAGAAAGGTGCGGAATCGCGGTGCAAGTGCCCGATACGATAATATGTCATATCATAATGTCATGTCATAATTATGCTGTAATGTATCATGCTAAGGTTATTAAATCGTTTAATTGTGCATGCTTCTCTACATACTCTGAGTATTGTAATCAAATACCTGTCCATTAAGGATTCGCCCTGTGCCTGTAATGATTTTTAACAAACCGAGCATAGTCATCGTAATAAATTATTTTCATATGCAAGATATAGTATCTTTTTATTCACCAATAATAATTTTAATTTATAATAACAGCCAAGCTATTCGCTATTCATTATGATAAATGTTGAATTTGTAGCATCATATTCAGAAAAAGCAATACTTACTCGTAAGAAACCGGAGAATGAATACAAGATTATGCTGCGAGTTAAGATAAATTACAGATCACCATGTGCTCGATAAATCGTTTGGGATTTTTCAGAATTACATGTGAAGACCAAGTCGAAGTAATTGGCGAGTAGTAAGTTGCCTAGTAACTCGCATTGATTTGTTTACATAAACACTTTGCGACCCGGTCATGTTATATCATAAGCGTCGCGGATTGCTTAGCACGTTACGTCAAAACGCGGGGAGGAAAAAGGATGGTATCATCCAGGTATCTCCCAGATTCCATTTTGGGTTTGATTTAGACGAGACTTTGTCTTTCTCAATTCTAGCCGGTAAAGACTTATTAGAAAAAAAAAATCTCGACATCGCGTCTACTTTTGCATTTTGATGATAACCGTTTTTGGTTAGCTGCACGCGATGCTGTCGCTCGATGTCGTGAGGATTCCAGCAATTCATTATAAACCCAGTGTGAAACAACGCGTCGAAATAACAACACTCAGGGAATAAGCCTGAACCGCTTTCTCGAGAGTGTACTGTCATGACATGATCACTTGTCTGTAAAAATCGAATAAATGCATTAATCTCATTTTCAGATTATAAATTCCATAAAGATTAAAGATTTATGCATCTAATTATTGTTGGATTGTGTGTCGACAAATATAAAGCGTTTTCTTAGAGATTTCTCAAAAGTCCTGTAGAATTATGTCTACCTTCCTCAAATATATCATATTATATATTTTATTATTAGAAACATGGACATAATCTTACAGTACTTGTATACGCATCGATTTTTTTTCGCCTCAATTGATCGCAGATTTATTTAGCAGCTGTCAAGCCTCGACGATCGTTATGAAGTGCCTGTTTCGCGAAAGGACGTTGATTCTAACAACCATTAATTAAAATATATAGATTCTCGCATCGCGCGTTCGGTGATGTTCGTGTCGAAAAAATAGCCGTTTAGCGTAGTTTACAGCAATTATATTGCCGCAGCGTGAGTCGAGCTCGTCTCATGCCCGAACACGAGAGCGAAATTTTAGGCGGACCGACCGGCCATGGAAATGCCATTCGGATTAATGTTAATGGTAATCGTAATACTCGTAATATCATGTTAAAGGTGAGTCAGTGAAAGCAAATCATCGGTCTCCTGTCCATTGCACAACGCGCAAGCGAGTGAGCGTGTCTCTCGGGATTCCTCGGTTCATCCGCAACATGGAAATGAGGGGGTATCGAATTTAGTGATTCTTCGAAACTTTCTATAGCCATGGTAGAGCTTTGAGAATATAAAATAGGTGGTCGTAAATCGATCATAGTAGCAGGAGCGTAGAGCTAGCAGGTTTCAGACGCTGTTCAAATTTTATTGCTCACGCGATAGGATCGCGCGATAATTGCCAATAATTGGTTCGCTCGGTTGCACGATGTACTTACGTACATATTTTAACTTTGAACACATCTTGCATTCATAATACGACTTATTGAAACCTAAATTGCATCTACAAATTGAATGGAGCAGTGTTAGCTTAAAAGGTCAGTTCGATTTCATTTCTAAAATTAATTGATGCTAATTGAAATATTGATTGGAAACAAGACGAATAATCACAGGATTCCTGCCAATTGCTAGACGTAGTTGATCCGTGAATTTGGCAACTCTATTGTGACATGTTGTGCTTTACGAAGCCAAATGTCATATTATATGAGATCGCGAGTGTAAATTGTGGTGCACGTGACGCAACTTATATACAAACTGAAAGGTCATTTAAACAAGTTCATACGTGAAATATTGTTAAAAATTATAATTGGCAGTTAGTCAATTACCATTATTAATGACGTCGGTTAACTATGACAATTAAAACAATCGAATTGTCTTATGTATTAAAAAAATAACAAAGACGTGTCGAATACGTTCAGCTAAAAAAAAATCTATTGTACCAAATTATAAAATCCAAATGGTACTATTGCTCTTTCTCTGGTACTTTTAGTTTATATCTTTCCCCCTCCCTCTCCCCCAAATATCCCTTCCCCCTTAACAGAGTTGATATAAAGGGAGTTCTCCGGAGAAACAGCTCAGTTGTCGGTGCGCTCTCCTTGCCTTGATGAAGTGAATGGCAAGGTTCATGAAACGTTGACATTAGCAATGGATCACAACGTGGTAATAACCCATAAACCCTTCGCACTCGAAGTGGTATCATCTTTATTGTACCAAATTAAAAAGTAAATCCAAGTGATACTATTTTTATTATTTACTTAACTTTAAATGATATGTATTATTTGTATAAAAGATTTGA